AAGTTACTGTGACTGTCCTTCAAACTTTTAGAACTAGTAGACCTCATCCACTCTCACCTCATTTTTGAATTGAGAATACTGGCAAGAAAATGACGTGGAGTAAGTGCTTGATCCATCCACTTCTTTACTGCCTGAAATTTAACTTTGTTGCTGAGTATTTCTTTTTTCTGTGTCTCTTGACTTTCCAAATGTCAACAGCATTAGCAATACAGCAGCTATCTTTCTGCAGTTTGTCCAAGGCTACAGAGCTAGCATTTCTTCTACATTTCTCTTCAGTCAGATTAGTCAACATAGGACTAAAGTATAGCTGCTGTGAAAAGCTATGCACTTGACACTTGAATTTTTGTTCAGTTTGTTATAGCTTTTGCTGCTGCTACTTTTACTTTTAAGTATTCTGGGGTACCAGTTGTTTCTATAAGGTTGACAACCCCATCTTTTGTTGCCACACAAGCATATATTATTGGCTCTTCCTATATGAAGACCCAGATTAAAGAATTTCTTGTCAATGTTTTTTGCACGCTGCTCAGTTTCCTTCTTGTACACTGTATCCAGCAACCTTTCAGTAATGTCTGCTCTGCCGAGTGGAGCCTTCATCTTAACATTGAAGCATGTCATTGAAATGTTTATTCCGAACAAGATGAAAGGGAGAATTTGTTGCATAAATGAACTGAGCAGTCTATGGAGTCTTGATGGAATTAGCTGGTCCTGATTACAAACTCATCCATGATTTTACTGGATGATGAAGAGAAGGTGTTTTTGTTGTTTGTTGTTGGTTTTTTTAAAATATAGGTAATTTATTGTCTGATGTATGTTCAGTTGCAGCACTGCTGGTGCTACCAGCAGATGGCTCTGAAGTTGTAGACATTCAGATGATGGATGTTCTTAACCCCTTATGTATAAGCGAATCCTGAAATAAAATGGTAAAAAAAGTTACTCTCACTCACTATTATTCAGTGCCCTGCTTTAAAAAAAAAATAAAAAATTGTAAATGAAAGATTCCTCCTATTGCAGCTGTTTGTACCACTGTTTAAATAATACAGTTTATTCTAAACCCAGTTGTTTAGTGAAAATAAATCATAAGGATTATCTACATCTATTTAAATGCTTATCTCAAACATGCCAAATAGCTTGAAAAAAAAATTAATGTTAAAATTAATAAATGCCTAATAAAACTACTTTTAAACAGAAAATCTTCACCTACTATATTTGATTATATTGAGCAATAAAAAATCATTTCAGAAGTGCAGCGGTAACAGTAAAAATTTAATTGATAAATACTCCCACAACTAACATGTCAATTATATTTTAAACACAAACATTTTGAAATTCATAAGTAATCCACCCAAAACACAAACTTATGACCGCTATCTAAGTTATCGTTCACTAGCATAGTAAGATCTCATAGGCAGTCCATAGAATAGTGCAAAAATAAGTTTACTAACCACGTGATCCTGATTGTTCAGACATGTCTACATCATCATCTTCAAAGTCTTTGCTTTCTGAGGATTATTTTTCATAATGTTTCATTCTGGCAACCGGGCCTTACATCTTTTCGTTGTATTGTTTGCATTTGGCACATGTTCGTGGGTTTTTTTTATCCAGAGGTACAGGAATTTGTTGGAAATATTCCCAAATAGGGCCTTCTTTATGACCTGCATGCATGGCAGTTTTTGCTCCAGTTACCAGGTGTTGAAATCAACAATGGAGGCTGCACTCTGAAGAATGTTCTCTCTTCTTCCCCCAGTGTCGTGCTTCTACACCCGTGTTGCTCTTTTCTGGTTGCACACTCTGCTCCTTCTCACTTGTTACAGAACTTCCCAGAAAAACAAAAGAACTAACAACAATCCAAGACTTCTGCTTGTGTAACTCATATGCGTTTGCACTGTAGTATTCGATTTGGTTGGAGACAGAGAGAGAGGCAGTTGAGAAATTAATGGATTTCTGTTTGTTTGTATTGCTGTCTGTGCATACATACAGAGAGACAGAGCAAGGCAATTTACTTGAAGTGCCCAGAACTATCCAGAAGCGAGGGCTAGTAGTTACAGGGTAGATCAGTGTTATTCCATGAGCTGCAGAGTAAGTTTCCTTGGAGGGTGGAGTCAAAATATTTATAATTTAAGAATTGAGCCAATCAGAACTCCCATTAAAGTCAATGATAGCACTCCTATTGACTTTAGTTGTGTAAGTTCAGGCTATTAGTGTGTCTTTCCCCTTAATGTAAAAGCAGACTCCATATTTATCATGAGAGAAGAATGCCAAAATTTGAGTACGACTATGTAGATCCTGGAGGAAAAAATTGCTTGTATAACTTCCATAGCTACAAAGTACTGACTTAAGCCTGGATTTTGCAAATACTGATACATGTGACTAAAGTTATTCATTAAAGTCAAGGGTGATTGTCACAGAAGACTACTTGTCTGATTAAAGTTATACATTATGGATAAGTGGTTTCTGGATTGAGTCCTTAGCTGCATAATCAGGTAGAATCAGCTCAGCTTCCAAAAAATCCAAAGGAAATATGAAATATTGGATCAGTATATTTCTAATTCTTTAAACATACTGTAGATGTTTCTCTTAGTTTGAAAGTTTCTTTTTATTTTTAAACTGCAAAAAGAAAATCAATTTCATATGTAGATTAAAAGACTTACCATATATACTCGTTCATAAGCCGAATTTTTTTTTAGTAAAAAAGGGAAGCACCAGAGAAAGGGGTCAGCTTATGAATGGGTATAGAGAGGGAGAGGTGGGATACAGCCCCTCCCCCCAACAGAGGGAGCAAGGAGAGGCAGCACAGCCAGAAGGGAAGAGGCGGGGCTAGAATTTTTCTGCTTCTGGCCATGCTGCTCTCCCCCCAGCCTCTGAAGCAGCTGCAACTCTGGGGCTGGCAGGCTGTAGCCGTGCTGCTCGGCTCTGCCCCCCAGAGCAGGCTGTGGCCGCGCCACCCGGCCCAGACCGCTGGAACATGCTGCAGCCGCCCTGCCCAGCCTGCCGGAGCAGCTCCAAACAGGCCAGAGACATCCTCCCCTTGCCCTCCCCAGATAAGGTGGGAAGGGATGGGATTGGGAGTGTGTGGGGGTCCTGGTCTGGGGTGGGGTCATGTGGGGGGTGGTCACAGGGGTTACTCCACTGAGCCCAAGCTTCTCCCCCCCCAAAAAATTTCCCCACCAGTTGCTGTCCCGACCTGTCAGGGTAAGCAGCTGGCATGCCGGGACACTTTGTTTACTTAGGTTTACCTCCGTGCCTGCGGACGCTCGAGGTAAACAAACCATCTCGGCCCACCAGCGGTTTATCCTCATGGCCCGGGAGCCAAAGTTTGCTGAATCCTGAATTATAGGGTTGGCTTATGAACGGGTCATAAAATGTTTTCCATTTTTATTTATCCATCTTGGAGGGGGGGGTCGGCTTATAAACGAACCGGCTTATGATCGAGTGTATATGGTAATTAAAGAGCTTTTTAACTCTTGTTCCATGCTCACCCAGAATTCCAATTGATGTCAGTGGGACTTCTGAATGCAGAGCAGCTGTAGGATTGAGTCCAAAGACATATAAAAATCTGTTAAAATGTGTTTAAGTGGTATAGATTGTATAGTGTTAAGTATTATTATTTACTGGATTTTGTTTTTTAAAAAAGTAACAAATCTAGTAAACATAAAAGCAACACTTATGTTTGGGTTTATTGATTCTTGATAATGATGCCATTTGAAATGTATACTCTCTTTCTATTTTGATTTCTTAATGGGTAATTCCGAGTTCATAAGAGGTTGCTTGCTTAAATTTCATACCTGGAGTTCAGTTTTTATAAACGGGCTCAAAAAGTAGTTTAATCTTTGTCCATATTTGCAGACCTCTGTTTAACATGCAAATCTGCACAAAGCAATATCAAAACATGTTAATATCAGTATCCAACACAATGGATCAGATCCTGAGCTGTTGTAAATTGATGAAGCTGAGGATCTGGCCCCATATGTGGTAATATATATGGAACTGGCTTAGAAGAGATTCTCTCTCCTCCTCTTAGGAGATTAACCCATAAACTGGTCTGGTCCAGTACTTGACTGGGCTGAGCCACAAACTTTACCAGAATAGAACAATGTCTTTAATCTAAGTGAAGTTCAGTAGGATCTGTGTGTGGAGTGCTCAGAAACCTTAGTGTACCTCGCTACCAAGAGCATCCACCATCATAGAAGGAAGAATCAGGAGACAAGATAGTACACCTCTACCCCAATATAATGCTGTCCTCGGGAGCCAAAAAATCTTACCGCGTTATAGGTGAAACCACATTATATCGAACTTGCTTTGATCCACCGGAGTGCGCAGCCCTGCCCCCCCGGAGCACTGCTTTACCGCATTAGATCCGAATTCGTGTTTTATCGGGTCGCGTTATATCGGGGTAGAGGTGTATTAAATATACAAGATATAGGCAATGGAAACTTTTTTTTAAGGAGGGATGAACAGGACAGAGAAAAGACCTGAACCAAACCTTATCACTGTAAGCAACACAGTATATTAAACAAAACTCCTATACCTGGGGCTCGGAATATCCCATCCAGGAATGTTATTTTCTCCAGAACCTGGTATTTAAACAAGTTCGGGCACAGACTCCCTTATGTACAGAACAAATATTTACATTCCCAGCAGAAGTCCAAACCTCCGGGTTGAACCTGGCCAGTTGAAAGAAGAGAGTACAAAATCTTCACCAAGGTTTGATGGGTTATATAATTACTGGGTGTTTATTTAAAATGTATTACTCCATTTGGATTTGCTCCAGGGCAGCCTTATTTGCAGAGCTCCAAACTGCGGAAGGGGAGAATTAGGCCAAAAACTGATTTCCTCCTCCTGTCCCACTGCTTGAAGAGATCAAAGGTCAGGTAGTGAGTTGCAGACCTTGCATGGGATTTCCAGACCCCTAAAAGTGTGAGGATACCAAGAGGTTATTGCTTTGCATGTGCTTAATGTCAGCCATGATTTTCTGTTTTACTAATGTGTACAACTCTTTACAGATGATTTTAAGCCAGAGAATCAAATTGGACTTGGCTTAATTGTACTCCCTGCTGTGATTTTAGTGCCATGTCAGTACTTTCTGCTTCAGATAGGTGAGGATTCATTTATTTACTGTCTCATTAAAAGCTTCTCAATCTACTATTAGAAACAAAAAATTTTTTTTACTATAACATGATGTTTGTCATTCATAAATAGGCACTGTGACAGTGTGCTGGGGTCCTGGTCTTCCTAATGTCCTGTGAATAAGGGGATAATCTGAGATCATCTGGTTTAGGTGCTGAAGAAAAGAACTGAATTGGCTGCTTGGGAGATGTAGCTGGGGGTAGAATATCTTTGGGTATCTCAGATTCCTCATCCAGGGTCATAGGATTGGATTGAATTACAACCTGGGGGGATTTTTTGTTTACTTTTCCATTTACGTTGTTTTCTTTTTATTGTGTACCTCATCCTTTAAGGGAAAGGCCTACCTCTTTGGCTCAGGATTTCTTCATCACACAAGCTGGCCAGGACTAGGATTCAGAAGATCCTGGTTCCTAGTCCAGTTTGGGTCACAAACCTCACATGTTTTCTTTTGTTGTCCTTTCAAAAGCTACAGTAGAATATTTGTTTTTTCCCCCCCAGTTTATGAGAATAATCTATTGTTTGCAATTGGTGTGGTAATTCTGGAATCACTTGGTTATTTGATTGCTGTCATCGGATTTGGCCTGTGCATTACAGGTAAGCATTATACCTTCTTTTAAAAGAAAATATACTTAATTTTAGCTATTTGGTGTAACAATGAGAATCTCTTGCACAAAATACTTTTTTGTATCTGTTCTTTTTATCTTTGTCTATACCTAGTGGGAACAGTTTACTTGCACATTAACACTGGAATATTTTGTAAAATGGCTTTTCTGCTTCATGATTTAGCAATAGAATTGCTATAAATGTATTCTAGGACTGCTGTGTTACTACTATTGTATCTGGTGAAGGAAAAATAGCCTAAAGGCATTATGTTACATATTATAGTTTCACTAGTATGACTATCCAGCATGGCTGCATCCTGCAAGCAGTTGCCTAAAAAAAGGATTGCTTTAATTTACTACTTATTTTGCAACACTGCATACCCTAGAGAGTCACCTACAACCAGCATTGACTCTCATTACTGTGTTGTTTTGATTGTTCCACAATCTTAAAAAGAACACACACATGCACAGACAGGGCCGGCTCCAGGCACCAGCCGAGCAAGCTCGTGCTTGGGGCGGCAGATTGTACGAGGCGGCATTCAGCCCAATCCTAGGGTGGCACGGCCGCTTTTTTTTTTTGTTCCACTCCGGCCGCCCTGTAGGGGGCGGAGGAGGGGAGCGCCTTGCAGCAGCCCGGCAGGGCAGCCCGCGTCCTTCCCTCCCAGCCGACCGCAGCGCGGAGCCCTCCCAGCAGGCGGCTCAGCGGTTGGGGCTGCTGACAGCGCCCCACTGAAGCCCTGGCCGCCCCCTTCTCTCTCTCTCCCCCCGCTCTCTCCCCCGCTAGCCAGGGCACCAGCGCAGGAAGTCCCCCTGCACCCTGGCTCCGGCCACGCCGCAAGTTTTTTTTTGTTTTTTTGGGGGTTTTTTTTGCTTGGGGCGGCAAAAAAGCCAGAGCCGGCCCTGTGCACAGAGGCAGAATCCATATCTGATGTTTAAATGAATAAATCAGTAGTGTGCATTGTCAAACCTTTGCTTTTGCTGTGTAGGTTTTAACTGTATTGTTGAGGCAAATGAATCACAGGAGCTTCAGCAAGAACGCAAATTCATTAAACAGTAAACTCAGAAGAATGCCTGCATTCTGATACAGTACTGATTAACGTTTGGCTTCTATTTTCTAGTGGGTCAGCAAAAAATTGAAGCTTTTTTCTTGAAGAGGAAAACACAGAGTGAAGTAATCTCAGAAGAAAGAGAGGGCAAATTTAGGGCTGGCCAACCTTGGCAGTGTTTGGGAATAATGGTTAGAGCCCTGCAAATCCGCAGATATCTGCTTTTTATCCGCAGACCATTTTTGCGGCTCCCAGATCAGATGCAGATACAAATTTTGTATCCGTGCACGGCTCTACTAATGGTAGAACACTGAACTGTGTTCATACAGAATACTGTCTCTTGTAGATGTCTTGAAGTGACTTATCCTAGAAAGCATAAATGTGAATTTGACTTGAGAGAATTATGCCTCTGTTCTACTAAATGCACCATGTTAAGAAACAGTTTCAAAAACTTTTCTTGAAAATGGTGTCAAGTAGCATTGCTGTTTTGGCCAGTGTGAACAGGGTGTAACTATTTTTAAATGGTGATTGGGGGTTGAGAAGAAAAGTTATGGAGAGTTTTCAATAACTGATCTTCTTTAAAAAGGAAAAAATATACCATCTCTGCACTAGCCTCAAAAACTGTTTACAAATACTTTTTGAAAACAGATTCTTGAAGCTATGTTAACTTGGATTTTTTTTAATTGCCTAATTTTAAAAAAAATCCTGCTTCTGATAGAGCATCCTTTAAATACTATCTTGACTTTAAAAATATCACAAACAAAAAGCTCCTTTGAGGAAAAATAAGGATTTTCTGTTGCTTTGTTTTTCAAAGGGTCTTTTAGCAAAGGAAAAACTGACTATAGAGGTGAAAGAGTCAATCTGACTATACACTACGATCCTGATCTTGCCAACACTTACTTACATGCTTAACTTCATGTATTTGTGTAAGTGTTTGCAGGATCATGGCCTAAATGCTTTCAAATGCAACAATTAAATAAACTGATAACATTTTTGCTAATCTTTTTCATTTATCGTAATCTTAGGTGGTGGTTTTATTATAGTAGGAGCAACATTTTCAAACAGAAGTGATATTTTCCCAAATTGATGGTGTCCCTTTCACAGTACCCATTTACAGCATAAGACAGCATAATTTGTGTATATTTCTGAATGTTATGTTATTTAAATTCAACATTTAAATATTTCAGTAGAAATTAGAGACCTTGAGTCTAAGCATATGCCTAGCTAGGAGCAGATGAGTAGCCCTACTGAAGTTAAACTTAAATTCTTTTCTTAATTGGGGCCGGGGTGAGTGGGCATTTCGGTGGGGGATTAGGTTAGATTTTAACTGCCAAGTTCTCCTCTCAGCTCTATCGATGTAAATTTGGAGAATTTGGGGAATATTTTTGAGCCACTCCAGATTTAGACTTGTGTAATGGAGAGTAGAATTTGGCCCAAAACGTTTGCTATGTACTTAATTATGTCTCTCACCAAAATTATTTTTCATTGTATTAAATTTGCACAGTATTGCAAATAGGGAGTAGAAGTTCTAATCTAAAGGAGAAAAACACTGAATAATTAAAAATGCCCTTAGAATGCAACAGATTACTATAATTTTATATGTTAAATAACATTTCAAAAATTACAAGCATTTTTTTTTTGCATATTGTTAAAATAGATAAATTAGGCTTTTGTCCCTTACTAGCTGAAAATGAACGCTCATGCTATAAACAGAAAAAATTCAGTGAGAAATTACATCTTATATGTTCCTTTACCTGCTTAAAATAAAATAATATAAATGTTTAATTTGTTTTCAACAGCATGCCGCCCGAAAAATGGTGCTGTCGTGATTGCTGGCTTAGCCATTATGGCTCTTATTGCACTTGTAGGCCTAATTTATGCGATTCTTTCGGGTAAGTAGCACCTCATATTTTTTATTACATTTTTTCTGGTGTTTTAATCTGAATGTTCAGAAGAACTGTTCCCTGAATTCACTTTTTTGGAGGTGAATATAATTGTATTTAAAAATAGCATGCCATCTGATAAGTTACGTTGTTTTAAAAAAATACAGGTCTCTCAATTCCAGACACCAGTTTCCTTTTCTCCACTGATCTATGACCTATTCCCCTCCCTCATGTGAACCTTCCTCCCCAAAAACCCTTTTCCTTGAGGAGTGGGGAGAACATCTGGTAGATATTTTGTGAAGGGAACTCCTGGAGTAAGCAATGTGGCCCACTTATGCTTTTTCAAAGCTAAACTTCTGGGAAAGTCTCTGGCCAGCAAGATAACTCTAGAATTGGTTTTACTAACATAGCCTGATTTGTATTTGTCTCATTGCATGAATTGGTCTCCTCAACCAGTACTGGCATCAGAATAAAGTAATCAGAAAAGTATATAATCTAATGGTATGCTTTTGGAATATACAATAAATACCTGTAAAAAACAAACTTCTTTAGGAAGTAGACCCAAGGGGGTGACCAAAAAGTGAGTAGGTAAAATGACCCAGGCAGAGGGAAACTTAAATGCAGAAGGAAAATTGAGGTAGGTGGGAGGGACTAGTTTGGGAGAAAAACTTTTTTTATTCATGTGTATTAGATGTAGTTATGGGACAATTCTGCTTCTGGATATGTGCAGACTGGAAGTTGTGGGGCTCATATGTAATATGGTCTTTATTTTGTATGTGACTTGGTTATTGGGATAGATACTGTATGGCTATATGTGATTATTGAAATGTTTATTATATTCAGATGGTAATTTAGTTTAATAGCAAGGCTGCTAGGAAACTAGCAGGAAGGCATCCCAGTGACTCTAGATAAACCACTTCCCCATAAGCAAGGGTGGAGGTCATTAAATGACATTGCTTGAGCTGTGAACTAGGAAGATACTACTTCCAGGCTCCAGCCAAAGTTACAAGACTTGTTTTGCTCAGGCTAGAAGCCAGAACGGTTCAAAAGGACACTAAACTGTTAAAAGTTATTCTCTAGAGGAGGAGGCAGTTGCCAGGCAGCTGTTTGTTGAGAGAAGACTGACAGAGACAGACATTCTGCACAATGGTCTGAAGAAGCAAACATGCCTGGCCCATTAACATAGGGTGGTGGGGATTAGGGTAAAACAGAAATACACGTAGCCCCTTTGTTGTGTTAAAATTCTTTGATTCTTATATTATACTGTGCTCCTGCTAAGATTAAACAATGGTTTGATCTGGTCACCTGTATTAACCATTGGTCACAAGCTCTCAAAATGAAGACTTGCAGATGCTGAACTCCCTTGGACCTGTTGAGTTATCATGGTTCATACCCAAGGTACTCTACTCTGGACCTGGCCTAACAATAGGAGAATCAGAGAATTCCATCCCAGGAGGTGTAAAGGCATGGAGTTTGACACCTGAGGGGGTGAACTGAGAGAGACCAGAAGAGGCAACAGAGTAACCCTAACACAACTTCCGTTGATTTTGATGGGCACTGGGCATACCTCAGGGCAGAGTTTGGCTTTCGTGCAACATGCTAATGATCTAAACTATTTAGCTTCACTTTTGTGGTTTTTATATCACCAGATTATGCTGCTACAGTCTTATTAGATATGGTTTTGGGAGGTAGGGAGCAGATTTTATTACAGTGAAATCCCATTGCAAGATCAGTATTCATGTGATAGATTTTTTTATGCGGTGAGCTGGCCAAACAAATAGCAAATGTATCATTGTTGAAACAGTAGCTCCCAACCCTCCCAACACAAGAGTGCTATAGTAACAATAATAATGCTCTTGTGTAATGCTTTTCATTCATGATCTCAAAGTGCTTTAGCTGAATTAATACACGGAGCACATGTGCTAGGAACATTTATCCCCTCTTCAGAAGAGTGATGCAGTATTCTAGAATTTATAAATCGCACAAAGTAGTTTGGGATAACCAAAGATGTGATTCCTTCTAACTGTTGTTGCTTTCCTCCAACTTTTGTCTTTTTCTTCAGTTAAATGTTGAATTCTTTTATGTAGCTAATAACGTGCTCATTTTTATGTTCTGTAATATTTTTAGGTTACAGCAAGAAAGAACAACCTCCCAGGGTAAGCTTAAAAATAATAAATTTGGGGTAATTAGATGAGGTATGGTAATGAGATACTGAGCCTTTCACCACTAGTTTGAATTCAGACCAGACTGGTAGCAAGCAAAAGTCAGTGCTATATGGTAGCTGTTCAGTAGTCTGTGTTAACTGAATTGGTGGTCTTAGTCCAGTTCCTGATTATCTACTTCCAGATATCTGTAATTGGTCCCCTTGCTGGCTAACTTATCTGACAGGCCAAGGATTTGAATGGAAACAGAGCTACCCTATCCAACTCAAGTTGGAAGGACCATTGGGTGGTCAGGCTGTCTAAGGAAGCTTGCTGTTCCACTGACCATGCTGCATATTTTGTGCGGCTGTATGGATACCTTCAGTTGACAGTGCACCCTTTGTTGACACTAATAGACGTGTAAACATTTAATAAACAAGATTTCAGTCTGTCTTTAATAAATTATTCCTACACACACACTCCCAATTATTTTTTCTTTGTTACAGTCTCTTTCACACTGAAGGTCTAATACTTTTTTGGGTTCCCAGCTACACAAATGCTATACTCTTTATAATTTTCTTTACAATGCCCCTAATATTGAAGAGGCCATCTGAAAGCAGAGTGGCTGTTATCTTTAGGTCATGCAGAATAAGTGTATGTTTTTGAATCTTTCTAAGGAAAGTAATCCTGGTTTTGCAGCCTGCCTTTTTTTTTTTTTTTTAAATATACTAGGTGCAGTTGCCTCCTAAAATTGTGGTTACCCTGTTTTCCAAAGGGTAATCAAATGCAAACTGGCCCTTTTTACAACTGCAGAATCCGTATAATTTTGGATGTCTAATTACTGGATGGACTTGTGGCTAGGTGCCCCAACATTTGGCACTGGATGATTCCAAAGAGAGACAGATTGATTGTTTTGTGGGTACAGTAAAGTACACAGGAGTCTAAAGGCCCAATGAAATTCTGGTCTGAAAATCAGGGTTAGGGTTGCCTGCCTCCATCAAGAGAAATTCAGCACGTATTGCTGTGGGTTAAAGGGGTTTATAAAAAGATGTGCAGTTGCCTTTAAAATTAAAAGTTTTTTTTTAATTCTTTATAACCGAAGGGCTATGGTAACCTTGCACTCAGAGGCCTGTGATTTATTTTTATTAGGGGCACATCTCTAAAATAACTCTTGACACTTTCTTGAGGCCCAGGGGAAAAGGGCGTGTATTTGAGACTGTCAATCTTAATCAATTTCCTTTTAAAATCTATCTAGTTTCCTGTTTGTCCATATTACTTTGCTTCTGGTTAGTTCCCTACTAGATAAAATTTGGGATGTTTCCTGTAGAGCTATTAACTCGTACTTTTTAATCTTGGTGCTGTTTGCTTCCTGCACCAGTGATCAGATTGAGAAAAGTCGTTGCTGCTTCACTTACAAGTAGTGTGTCTCATTGTGTATCTCTTGCCACCGCTACACATTTCACTAGGAAAATGAGATTCCTGATCTGGTTGGAGATAACATGACGAGAGTGCAATTATTGGTGGATTTGTTTTTCATAGCCATAGTTACTAATCTTCAGCTTCTTTCATTTTTGTAGAATCACTACTTACTGTATATGTCAATTACAGTAATTTAACTGTGGCGAGCCAAAAATAGACATGAAGGCTTTTTTTTTATATATATATATAAATATTTTTAAATATTTTACAGAAAGCTGTAGAAGAACCACTTAATGGTAGGTGGTAACCAAAATCTTATATTTTTACTTAAGGGATTATACAAAGCCTTTTAGAGATGGGTCACAATTTTGCTTAGCACTGAGTGCTGTTGCTTTGGGTAAGGTGTCTCAAATTATCCAGCTCCCTGAGCCACTGAGAGTTTGATGTATCGCTGTTGTGTGATGCCTGCAACTCTGGGCATAAGGGAGTGTTGTGTATTGTCTACACCTGCTAGCCATTGATTGCTGACTGCTTTAGAACAAAAGTAGCATCACAATTGGAACAATATCCCTGTCTGCTTTGCAAAAAGGCCATGTCTTACTGAGGAAAAGGGATGCTCCTCCAGGACGGCTGTTGTTGAGCCAGTCTTCTTTATGAGGTGCATTTAAGTGGGATAAGGGACTTTCACAGTGGGATAAGGCAAAATCTCACTCCTCTTCTCTGTGGTCTCTTGGGTTTGGGAAGACCCATGGTGGTGGAGTAAAACAATATGGGAAGGAAACACTGTTAATGCCTGGTGTGGGGGATTTTTACAGTGGAAGAAGGGTGGCCCTGAAACCTGTCTTCCTTAGGCTGTTCAGAAATTCATTAATTGGCATACTGGGAAGTAGTGATGTCTCAACACCTATTTTAAAACTAATCAGAATACTAATCATGTAACATTTCTAATTATTTGCTTGGCTAATTACTAATCCTCTGCTTGACTTTTAAAGATGCTAAAGGAGTGATGTTAGAATGATGGTGAGTCAAATGTTACCTGCTGCTGTAGATTTTGACCAGTTAATTAACGTTTACTCTGGAATTTTAAAATTAAAATTCACCTGTACCAAGGATGCTGCTAATATATGATGCAGCATAGGATACAGATCGCATGAAGGGTGCAATCTTTAAGTTATATTGCATTATACTGGAATGTTATAGGTGATCTGAAGACAGATGCATTTGTATCCTTTTTTTTACTGCTTTATGATGTATGGTTTGTGAAAGGTATGTAGGATTGTTTAAATATTGGATTATTTCTGCTATTTTTTATCTTGGAAATAGCAGAAATGTCAAGTATTATCATCTTTGTTTAGCTGAAGTCTCCTTTGTAACAATCAGAGATGCAAACTGCAACCTCTCTTAGCTCTTACCAAAAGGGCTAGAGGTATCGAATCATGACGAAAAAGAGCTCCCCTACCCTCCCACCAGTTGTTAAGTGTGTGAATTAAATAGGTATTAACAAAAAACACTTTCCAGTTGATCAGGTACCACTTTGTGATGTCATAAGCTTCCTCATACTCCTATCATCTATAGAGTTTTCTAGTAAAAAGAGGGTAAACAAGAACTGAATTTATAATGTAAAAAACAAGCAGACTTTTTACTTTTTCCCCCTGGTTGTGAGGGAAAGGGTGTGTGTAGACCTTTGAGTCTCCTTTGTGGACTATAAGTGTGTCTCCTCTTTTTGGCCCATTAATGATTTTCCTCTCTTTTGCTGATTATATTTAAAGGGACATTGCCAAGTAGTGTGGGCCCAACTTTTAGACTTTGAAGATTTTTCTTTTTAAAAACAGAGTATTTTTTCAAGAGTATACAAAGTGAAATGAAAAACTACTTTTGAGTTTAAGCATTCTCCTGTTTTGTTGGAAACCCAAACAATCACTTTTTAACAGGAAATTTAGATCCAGAAAGGTGACTATGGACTATCCAAACAGAATGATGTTCAAGAAGTTAAATCAAAAATTATTAAATGTCATTTTTAAATCTCTAGCAATTGTAATAATCAAATATGGGATTAGTAGTGCAAAGAATATCATGTATTAATTTGACAGTGTAATTTAAGGTTGTGTTAAATTTTCACTTGTAATTTGTTCTCAGGCTCGAACATGCAGATTATTCCTCTACTTAGAAATTTTTTTATCTGACACTTGGTACAAAAACTTAATAGTATTTGGGGGGAATGCTATTGATTAAGTAACATTTCTATTTGTCAAATTTTAAAAAAAATTGTCTGCCTTTTGACCAATTATAATTTTAAAAAAATTAATGTTTCACATTAAGATTTAATGGTGCATTTAATTTTTTGTTCACTGATGTATTTATTTGAAAAACTAGATTTGAAATGGTTACAGTATTTAACTTAAATACTAAGCTAGTCTTGTGGCCATATATTTTATCTGCTTTGACTGGTATTGCTACAGTTCTCCCAATACATTAGTTGCACACTGATAGCTTAATGACTACACACTGGTGAATCTAGCACTTTACCCAGTGTGGTCATGGTAGCAATTTGAGAATGTTTGCAGAAGCTGTGTTACCATGTGAACTTGCTTGTAGAGTGACAAAATTGCTTTAATACAGGTAATAGCTTTTTTTGTTTTAGTTTTATGAGGTACACATTTTAGCAAAGAAGTTTTGAGCTAAGGCAACCACCAAACATTTTAAGAAAGAAATGCACACCCCTACTAGAGGAGGATCTCCACTATTAAGTACTATCCTGAGTATATATGCTCAGACATTCCATAGTGTCTCTGCACTGTTTGACTTGGTCAAGTAGAGAATTCCCTTGGCTTTGTGGGTTCGTCACCCGTTTGTTGTTGTTTTAATGGTCTGTGTTCTTATCTTACATGTAGACTACCTATTTTTCTCCTTGTATTCCTCCTTCACGCTAGTATGTTATATTTCCTGTACCACCCACATAAGTATTAGGAGACACTAACTCTACTTTCGCTGCCCCTGGAGACTGAGAAGGCCAGTTCAAGGAAACTGCCAGACCCTGAGCCTAGAGAGAACTCTAAATTATTAGATGGGGGTGGTTTCAACCAATTTTATCTTTGTGCAGAACACAAATGGAACTAGAGGCAGCCAGTAAGATTATTGGCTGATGCTAATTTATTGATAATTTAATATTCCAGCTTATAAGTAAGTACAATGTACTGCTGAATTTCTGTAACTCATGGCTGAGCTGTTGTGATTCATCCGAGTACACATAAGGACTGCTTTCCTAAACCAATAGGAATGCATCTGCTCATATGAGACAATGAATAACTTTACCAGCATCCCTTAAAGCGATAAAATATGTTAGTCATTTGGTATAACTGAAATAAAGACGGGGGGGGAAGGCTCTTTCATTGGAAGTATCTTTACTCCTGCTTTGGAAATCAACACTTTCTTTTCCCTCAGCAGTTATCTAACACAAGCAGACCATTATACAGTGTGAATTTCTGTCATCTACATTTTTTTAGATGTCAATAAAGTCAGACAGCAAAATGGGGTCAGTGCAACAACCTTTCACTTCTGAAGGCGAATTCTGCTTTGACAGACCATTTTAAATTAATTGTTCAATGTTTTCCTGGGCCCTGTTTGTACAAATCAAAATTCTTCACTCCATATTTGTATAAGATACTGGGTGAAGACTTTTAAAAACACACAGGTTAGTTAGGCACCTGCTATTTGTACCTTTAAAAAATCACTTCCTAGAGTAACAGGGGTTTTAAGGTCAAAACTGAGATACGATCCCAAGCTGTGTTGAGAAATTATACAGTAGTAGTTTTTACTATACCAATGCTAGCCACCCATGCTTTTGAGTGAATTTGTCTACATTTTAGAAAAATTGTAAAGTTTGAATTTAGTTAGGCAGCACAAAGTGTAGGTGGTTGTGGGTGATGTTAATCAAAACATTCTTGAATAATAGTTTTGTTTTGTAATTTTCCAGCGAAAGTAACTGGCGAGAGTGACAGAATCTGCTACAGAGGTGGTGATATGTGAAAAGAAATACATTTGTTTATACACCGTGGCCTTTGATGATGCACTAGTCAAAGAGAAGAAAATCAGGAACGTAGCTATTTTGCACGTTTGGGGAAAAAAAATGCTAAAATGATTTACATGTAATTTTATAGTCACAGCAGCGGTAGTTCCATTCAAGAGAGAGAGTTTTGTTGTTTTTTTTTTTCCTGGAGTGTGTAGGGAGGGGGAGGAGGAGAGCAGAAAATGCACTATTTATCGACCACGCAATTTCTTTATAGTGTCAATATTAGTGGTACCCTTTTCAAAAAACATCAGTCATCGCTTTGAAACTGGGCCAGGTCAGTGACCAAATGATACTAGCACTATGCTACTTGGACAGACCTTTGTGATAATTTAAACAAATTGGTATTGCATGTTTCTCTCCTGACTCACCCTCTCTCCCCTCAAATATTAAAAAAAATCCACTGTCGCTACTATGAAGTTTAATATGATAAAGGTTGTAATTACATTTAGATTAGTGGGGTTTTGCGTGTGCATGGGCAAGATATGTTCATGCCTATATGGTATGAATAGGAAGTGGATGTTGTACAAATGTTACTCTTTCCACTTCCAGTGTATGTATTATAGAAAACAATGGCACTTACCACACTGAAAAAACCTGCATAAACAAAACCACGCCTTTTTTAATGATTACCCAAGTTCCCCCCACTCCCACATACTATAATAGTCTTCTTGTATATATAGTAGTTGTGTGGTGTGCTTTGATTACTGATATTTTAGTCTGATGTTTTTTGTGCCTCTTGTTGTAGTCTTGATTAAATATTACTCACTCCGAGTCAAATTCAGCGCTACGGTTGTTGGACACAACCCATTGATTTCATTGTTGAAGGGTACCCTACAATGTTCATATGGTATAGTCTGTGGTACCGAAACCAGTCTCAGGCTTTCTCCTTTGCAAACTGGCATTTAAGAACCTCTTGATGCTTTCAGAAAACGGAGAATAATCAAAGTTAGCAGCAAATCTGCATTTTAAATCTGCCTCTTTATTACCAAGAATATATGCATAAAAACATGAGCTATGTTAGTTCATGGGATCCTGCTACTTATGCCATAATTGAAATGGTCATCCTGACTTTGTGATATTGTCATTATATCATAAACAGAAGACTCTTTCAAACAGGGAATAAGTAAATTCAGCTTCTGAGCGTATTCAAGTTTTACATATAAATTTTTTTTAAAACCTAATTAGAATAATTTCTTCATGTCTTGTGTAGTCTGTGAGGCCTTGCTAACAGCTATACTTTGCTTTCTTACTAGTTACAGTGGGTGAACCCTCAATGTTCTCCTTTAACAATTTTTTGTGACTAGAGAGAGCCAGGGCCATGCTGCAGTTTGATATAGAGACCATGGAATTAACTGGGGGGGGGGGGGGGGGGAGGGGGGGGGGGATATGATCCTACAGCCTACACTCACATGCATAGGCCCCATGTGAGGACTGCAGGATTGAGCACCTCAGCTAACCCACTTCACCCTACAGAAGTCAATGGGATATTCACGTGTGTAAATGTTAGGGAGTATAAGTTTGTCTTTGCTTTGTAAGGCTCTATCCATATTGCTTTAATTTTTTAAAGGTGTATGGTTTTGGAATGTGGTATAGCAGCAGGGTAGTCATAGAGAGTTGAAATCCATATATATTAGTCCTTTAGTTAAGCCTCCCCCATTAATCAAAATAGTCAAAGTAAGGTGTGGGAGACAGTATGGATCATTAATTAGAAGCAATCCAGGGACTTCCCTAACATTTATGCATAGGGCTCCTCATCTACACACCTGTAGTTACTGATATCCTCTAGTAGTTTATAGCAGCTCCACAAAGTAGCAGGCTTTGAAATTCTGTTTTGCCTTACTCTTAATATAGCTTTATAATCAACTGTCAGCAAACTGGAATTTAGCAACCACTGTTGTGGTGAAGTCAAATTCCTTTAATAAAATATTACCAAAAAAATTCAGTACCCAGTAGTTGTCTACTAATCATACTGCTGTATGCAAAGGCTCTGCTTTGGATTTCTCTTGGGCACCAGTTAAAAGTGGGTTAGTTAATTTCTTAGTCACTTAACACTACCTTCCCTCCAGTAAAAACCAAAGTTGTTTAAATGACTGATTCCAGTGTGTGTGTATATATATATATAAACCATATTCTCATGATTTGGCATTTTGGATATCTGCAATCTTTACCCAAGTGTTGTTATTTATGAACATAACTTTGTAAATATTGCACTATTATACTTAAAATAAAACCATATTAAACTGTTTGTGAGTCTTTATTCCTGCCACAATTAACTACTAGTGTAACTGCTCTTTAAAGGCATAATTTCAGGGATTGTTAGCCACTGTGATGGAAAAGCAGGCCATGTAAATTGTAAAAAACACTGTTGACTCAAGTTAAGTAATTCCAATATACCCTAACCAAACCTATTTTATATTGAAATCATCATAACTGGAAAGTTAGTAGCACTTTTATTTTAACAAATACTAATGTCTGAGCATTTGATACCACAGTCTCGTGTCCTTTAAACAGATTAAAATATTTAGCAAGAAAGTCTTAAGCCATTCCTGGGTAAGCAATTTAATTATCTTGTAGCTACAAAGACTTTTGCTGCAGAATTCATAGTGTAAACTGTCCTGACCTCTGCACTGCTGGGAACTCAGTGGCAAAGCTTTCAGGACCTGAAAGTACCTGGTGCTGAGTGCTCACAACTATCATTAAAGTCATACTATGCTGCATACAATATTGAAATTGAAAGGTGAACGCAATCCTTCGGACATTATTGGGCCTCTCCCCCATCAGCCTGATTAGAGCCAAAGGTCCGCATTTCTCAAAACAATCTGTGACCGGAGTCATGGGGGGCCACACTGAGGTTATTCAATTAGGGCAAACTGCAAAGAATGGGGCAGACCGTTCCTAAAGCTGCTTCCACGATACCTTACTGGTTACACAGAAGCCAAAACCCAGTTTCCTTAAAAGCAGCCCAGCCTTTGGGGTCCCTCCCAGTCAGCCAAGTCAAATAACACTTCACTATCTTCGTAAACTAGATCTGGGAAGCTCTTCTCTCATCAGAGAAACAGCCCAGTGGTATGGAAAGTAGCAGTCATTTAACAACATCCAGCAACTTAACAGGCCAGATCATCATGGAAGACTATGGCTAATACCTGTATACAGTGAAAATTTTAGGTCGTAAATTGTAACTGAAATTTATCCAGGACAGAAAGCTCTTTGCCATCATGTTAAAGCCTCAGAAGATTCAGCTGTCAGCTCTGAGGACTTTAGTACTAGTTTCATTCCATTTTTAAACCTTTGCTGTCATTACTCAAATATCTTTTCTCAAGCTTTCCTGGCTCTTTCAAATTTCTCTCTTGATCCCTCCTCCCCTCCGTGTTCCTTACTTGCTTTAATCCAAACTGCCTATTTTTCCTTGTAACTTTCCTCTGAAGCAGCCTAAACCAAGGATACGAGCCTAGATAAACAATTGGTCTATGCTGGCATGGCAGTTTTGATAGAGGAAGGGAAGGTCTTCTACTGTGATTAAAGTATTGACTGAAGTGGGATTCGGGAGAGCTGGATTCAGTTACCCCATCTGCCATGTGATTCATGTGCTGTCTGGGGTAATCTTTCTGATGAGATTCTTCATCTCCAGGGTGGGTAACAACCCTTCCCTACCTCACAGGAGATCTGAGAGGATAAAATTGGAATTTGTGAAGTGTTACATTCCATGGGCATGAAGGCCATGTGTACAGCAGGACTTGGTCTTGGCTCATGCACTGTTCCACCTGCTCACTGAATTGTATAACCCAAGGTTAGGAGAAGCAAAGGTTCAACCATCCTTGTTAGTGCTGGAGTAGGCAAATTTAGTACTTACTACTTTTAGAAAAGGTTGTATCTATTCCCATTTGACTGGTTCCAGGGGATCAGTGTAATGGTCTAATCTGGAAAAGGTCTCGTTTCCCCTTGAGGTATCTTATAGAATGAGATAGTAAAACATCTCCATTTAAAAGGTCCATCTGGTGTATACTACTTACCCCCACTAAATCCCACTGTAGGTTTTGAGTTCATGTCTTTGCCTGTTTCCTTAGCTGCATTTTTTTTTTTTTTTACTTACAATGGTTGGCCAGAACCATGAAAGAACAGAGGCAATTTTCCCAGACTGTTATATATGATCAGTTTAACTGATCTCAGCTTAGTATGAACAGAATCTCAAGGCTAAATTTACTCTTCAGTTACATGCACTTAACCCCCCCTTGAAGGCATTGGGAGTTACACATGAAGAACTAATCGCACAATTTGGCCTTTTACTGTATAGGAAAGCCCAATTTTTCTTTCTGTTTGTTGGTTAAATTTACTCAAGAACAAAGCAGCAGACGTACACTCTGGTAATTCATCATGTCCCCATACAAAAATCAGCTGTTCAAAGAGATCTATTAAGGTGTTTCCTTTATCTCGTCAGGGTGCCAGTACAAGGTTGAGCACAACAGGGTGAGCGGGGAGTTGAATCAAAACTAAAGATGCTGTTCCTCCTCCACCATTTCTTGAGCTGCACAGAAAGGAGAGAATTCAGCCATTTAAAAGACGATCAAAAATAAATGATGAACTCCTTTTAGAACCCGCAAACATTTACTGCCAGGTTTATACATCTACCTCTGTGGGTTAATGAGAATATAAAAATGGGTAAAGGACAATTCTATCTGGCATGAATGGCAAATGAGGGTATAATCACATTTGGCTCAAGTCTGCCCTTGGCTATGCACACACAGCTCCGGCTGTAGTCAATGAAAGCTGAACCCTTATTGTTTGAGGATGGAGTTGGATGGATTTGTTTGCCAAAGGGTCAATTAAATCCTTCCAAAACATGGAGAATTTAAGCATTAAAATAGAACTAGCAATAGATGCAAATGCTGTGTCAGTACCATGGGCGGAGGGTGAACACCCCCCTTTGGGGAGGCTACCCCACCGGCCCTGCCTGAGGCCATGCCCATCAAAGCCCCGAGCCCGCCCCACTCCCACAGCGGGAGGAACTCCCCAGGCTGGCCCGAACCACCCTGGCCACTGGCGGGACCGAGTTCCCGCTGAGCCCCCTCTGGCTTCAGGGGAGAGGGGCAGTGGGGTGGGAAATGGGTGGGGCCATAGCCTGGCCTTTGATACCCGCCGCCCATGGTCAGTACAACGATGAAACACCTTAGAGGCTTTCTTCAGACTAGAACGAGTTATTGGTATTAAATAATGGAAAGTTTGCATCAAATGCTTTCAGGTTTCACAGTAGCAATGAGAACCTTAATGTTGTCCTAAAATGTATCTTGGAATTTGATGCAAGGCCAGAGATTTCACAGGCATCTTTTTGAATGATGTTGAAACAGCTGAAGAGGATAAGACCTAGAACTATATTTGAATATATGTGTTATCCACAGCCCCTTTTCCCCTTTCTTCCCACCAGTTCCCAAAGCTGGGAATAGTTGGGTATGGAGTGAATTAGTTGGTGCTGAGGTTACAACAGGATTTCTAAAGGGAATAGAATAGCTGTGGAGAGATTCCGCTCAGTCATCCTTGTTTTTAATAACAGCTTGGCCCATCAAAATAGGTGTTAGGTGACTAAACCCTGATGAGAATCTGGACCAGAGTGACTTAGGTGCATTTGCAATTTTTACCCAAAATATTTGTGTTTGTGGCCAGTGAGAGAGCTCCCGTCACCTGTGCACCTTCTTTCCCTGTATCTCAACACTGCTGTGTCCCCTCAATCTGGCATCAGCCATCTACATGCAACTAAAAATCCCATTACCAAAGTCACCTACGAGCATTTCCTGGCCCTCGTCCCCTGCGCTAGTCTAATTGCCCAATCTATTTACTCTTCTCCCCATAGCTGGCCACTTCCTCCACCCTAAACTACCTAGATTCTGTGCTGTCTAATGTTCCTAGCAGATGGAGTATATTAAGAAAAAATTGACTGATAATTGGCAAAAAGGGAATAAACAGCTTACCCTGAGTTCTGAGCTACTAATCTA